AGCGGCGCACTATCCAGTGCGCCACCGGGCCGGCCCTCAAGAAATGTTTTGATTTTCTCTTTAACTTCTTCTTAGACCCATAGGTTGTACAGGAGAATGTTAATTTTCATGTATTTGTAAACTTTCCAGAGTTTTGTGTTATTGACTTCTAGTTTTAATCCATTGTCATCAGAAAATATAAATGAAATAATTTCAATTTAATAAAAATTTGTTGAGACTTGATTTGTGACCTAACATGTGGTCTATCCTAGTGGCATGTTCCTTTTGCTGATGAGAAAAATATATATTCTGTGGTTGCTGGATGAAATGTTCCAGAGATCCCTGCCAAGTCCAACTGGTCTAAAGTGCAGTTTAAATCATGTGTTTCTGTTGATTTTTCACCTAGATGATCTGTCCAATGAGAGAGGGGAATTCAGGTCCCCAATATTATGGTATTAGAGTCTATCTCTTTCTTTAGGTCTAATAGCATTTGCCTTAGGCATCTGGGTACTCCAATGTTGGGTGAATATATATTTATGATTATTATGTCTTCTTACTGGATAGATCCCTTTATCCAGCTAGTCAGTCTGTCTTTTGAGTGGGGTATTTAATCCATTTACACTGAGTCACTATTTAAATATGTTGGCTTACTCTTGTCATTTTGATTTTTGTTTGGATGTTTTAAATACCTTTTGTTCGTTTATTTCCACTTTATAGTTCATCTTCTGTGTTTGTTGTTTTTTTGAGGTGGTTAGATAGGTTTTTTTTCTTTTGAACATTAGCAGTTTTGTTCTATTATTGGGTTTTATTCTTTCTTTTGTATTCATGGTAATGATTATTGTCATTCAGATATAAGATGCAGTACTTCCTTGAGAATATCTTGTAGGGCTAGTCATGTGGTGGTGAACTCCCATCATATTTGTTTTCATGGGAAATATACTCTTTCTCCCTCATTTCTAAGGGATAGACTTGCTGGGTATAGTAGTCTTTGCTGGCAATTTTTGTCTTTTAGTATTTTGAATATATCATCCTATTCTCTTCCTGCCTTTAAGGTTTCTGATGAAAAATCTGTTGTTAGTCTGACAGTTGCTCCCTAATAGGTGAGTTAATGTTTTTGCCTTATTGCTTTTAAGATTCTCTTTGTCTTTGAGCTTTCCCAATTTGATTATAATGTACCTTGGAGAGGATCTTTTTGAATTGAATTGGTTCTGGGATCTTTGAGCCTCCTTGACCTGAAAATCCATTCTCTCCCTATACCTGGGAAGTTTCTGCTTTTATTTAATTCAATATATTTTCAATGCCTTTTCTTTTCTCCTCCTCTATTGGAACACCCATCATTCAGATGTTTGTGTGGCTTCAGGCTGTCTGCTTGTTCTCTCTCACTTTCTTTTTTCTTTTTGGTCCACTTGTGTTATTTTGAAAAGACTGTCTTCAAGATCACAAATTTGTTCTTCTGCTTATTCTAGCACGCTTTTAAAGCTCTCAGTTGTGTTACAAATTTCATTTAATGACACTTCCAATTCCTTGAGTTCTGCTACATTCTTTTCTTTTTTCTTTTTTTTTAAAAGATGACCGGTAAGGGGATCTTAACCCTTGACTTGGTGTTGTCAGCACCGTGCTCAGCCAGTGAGCAAACCGGCCATCCCTATATGGGATCCGAACCCGGGGCCTTGGCGTTATCAGCACCGTACTCTCCTGAGTGAGCCACAGGCCGGCCCCTACATTCTTTTCTTAGGGCAACGGTCTGTACATTTCCTTCTTCAGATCCTGGATACTTTTTCTCATCTTGTTGTGCCATCTGAGTCATCTTCTATCTCACTGACTTTCCTTGGCATTGTTACTTGAAATTCCTTTTCAGTCATTTCATGGACTTCTTGCTCTATGCGGTCCGCTCAGTGAAATTATATTCTCTTGGTAGTGTCATAAGTTTTATTTTTCAAATTTCTAGTATCTCTAAATTGGTCTCTAGTCACCTGGTAGAGCAGCTGTTTTTTCCTAATACTCAAGAATGGGCTTTGAGGAGAGGAAATTCCTTTTGTAGATGTGTTTCATACCGACCATTGAATGGGGTGTTTTAGTACTGGTTTCAGGTAGACGCAGTAATGTAGTCTCCATGTAGGCACTCTGGCACAATTCTGTGCTGGGATTGTATATGGGTAATAAAATAAAAATAAATTTTAAAAACCTGAAGAAAAAATCTTAAAATATTTTAAAGTAAATAAAAGAGAAAATGCAACTTATCTAAATTTGTGGAATGTAGAAATAGTAACGCTTTCAAAAAATTTACATCATTGAATGTACATATTTTTTTTTTTCCCCTTTTTGTCTTTTTTCGTGTCCGGCAACGGATCGCAACCCTCAGTGTCGAACCCGTACCGGACCGGGACCCTCGGTGCTGCGCCCACACCTCGCTCAGCCAGTGAGCGGGAACCGGTCTGTATGTGGGATCCGAACCCTCTGCGGGAGCGCCGCCGCGCTCCCAAGTGGCGCACTGTAGCACGGAGCCACCGGGCCGGCCCTGAATGCACATATTTTTTAAAAAAGAAACACCTAGGGCTGGCCCGGTGGCGCACTGGAGAGTGCGCCGCTTGGGAGTGTGGCGGTGCTCCCGCAGAGGGTTCGGATCCCACGTGGCGACCGGTTCCCACTCACTGCCTGAGCGCGGTGCGGGCGCAACACCGAGGGTTGCGATCCCCTTGCCGGTCCCCGGTATGGGCGCAACACCGAGGGTTGCAATCCCGTTACCGGTCAGTAAAAAAGACAAAAAGGAAAAAAAAAAAAAAAGAAACACCTAAAATCAATAAGCTAAGTTTTTACCTTTGGAAAGTAAAAAAAAAAGAGAGCAAATTAAATTAAAAGGAAGCAGAAAAAATAAAAATTAGAGCAAAAATAAAATTAAGAAAGGAAATCGAGAGAAAATTGTCAACGAAGTTGATTCCTCAAAAAGTTCAATAAAATTGATAAGCCTATAGGTAAGCTAACTAAAAAGATGACACAGATCAGAATTTACTAATATCAGAAATGAAGAAGAGGACATCACTACAGAGCCTGTGAACATTAAAAAAATAAATACTATGAACAACGCTGGGAACAAATTTCACAACCTACACGAAATGGACCAGTTCCTAGAAAGACACATTTTCCCAAAACTCACACACACTAAAAATGCAGTATTAGAATATGACTATATCTATCATGAAAATTGAGTAAAAAAAAAAAAAAAAACAGTCTTCAAAACAGAAAGCATCTGGGCCCAATGTGTTTACTGGGGAATTCATCCAAACATTTAAAAGGAAGAAATTATATCAACTCTCTACCATCTAATTCAGAGAACAGAAGATAAGATACCTCACAAATCACTCTACAAGGACAGCATTAACTCAATACCAAATCAGACAAAGATATTTCAACAGAAAACTACAAACCATTATCTCACATGAACATACAAATATCTTTAAAATATTCAAAAACCTAACCAAACAATATTTAAAACGAATTACACACCACAACCAAGTGGTATTTATCCCAAGCAGGCAAAGCTTGTTCAATACTTGAACATCAATTAGTTTAATCCTTCACATCAAAACACTAAAAACAAAGAAATTAGATGACGGTAATATCAACATCTTCAGAAAAAGCCTTTGACAAAATACAGCACCTATTCATCATAAAAACTCTCTTCCACAACTTGATAAAGACTATCTACAGGAAACTGTAGTTAACATTATTATTCCTGGTGAAATACTTTTTTCTGAAAAGCTTTTCCAGAAAATCAGGAACAAGGGAAGAATAAGCCTTCTCACCACTCACATCACACTAAAAGTACTTCATACTGCAATAACAGAAGAAAATGAAATAAAAGATTACAGACTGGGATAAATAAGTCAATAAAAATAAATCGTCTTTGGTTGCAGGAGATAGGAGTATCTGTGTAAAAAATTCTAGTAAATAAATGAAAAAACTCCTTGAATTACTAAGTGATTGTAGCAAGATTGCAGGACACAAGGTTAATAAACAGAATTTTATCATGTTTCAACACACCAGTAATGACCAGCTAGGATCTTAAATAAAAAACAGAATACTGTTTGTCAGAACCTCAAAATATAAAATAGTTGCAAATCACCTATGTCGTAAGAGATTAACATCAAGAATACATAATGAAAAAACCTTCCACAGCTATACAACAACAAAACATATATCCTGTTTAAAAAACAAGCAAAGAAAGGGGCTGGCTGGTTAACTCAGTTGGTTAGAGAGCAGAATTGTAACACCAAGTTCAAAGGTTCAGTTCCTCATACCAGGCAGCCACCCCAACCCCACCCCCAACAAAAAAACAGCAAAGAAATTAAATAGACATTTCTCCAAAGATGATATACCAATTTCTAACAAACACATAAGACACTTAACATCATTAAACATTAGAAAATGTAAAACCATGATGACATTGCTTCACACTCAACAGAGCAGAACATGTTTTGGTGAAATTAGAATTTTAGTATACTGTGGGTAATGATGTAAAATGGTGCAGCCCCTGTACCATTTAAAAAAAAAATACACTGTCTTCTCAAAAAATCAAAAATGGTATTACCACGTGATTCAGAAGTCCAAGTTCAATGTATATATCCAAAATAATAGCTGAATCTCCAAAAGATATTTCCACACCAGTGGAATTCATAGCAGCCATTAGTCACATAGTGAAGTGGTGCAAGCAACCCAAATGTCTGTCCATGAATGAATGGATCAACAAATTGTGGTATGTACACAGAAAGGAGTATTAATCAGCCATAAAAAGAAATGAAATCTTGACGTATGCTATAACAAGGAATGGTGAGGACATTATGCAAAGTATTGAAATAAGCCACTCATGAAATCACAAGAATTGTACAGTCCCACTGATATGAGACAATTTTTTTTTTTTTGTCCTTTTTGAGACCGGCTGCACTGCGCTCAGCCAGTGAGCACTGTGAGCCAACCGGTCATCCCTATATAGGATCCGAACCCGCGGCGGGAGCGCTGCTGCGCTCCCAGCGCCGCACTCTCCCGAGTGCACCACGGGCTCGGCCCGATATGAGACAAATTTTGAGAAACCAAACTAGAACATCAGATGCCAGAAGCTACAAGGAGGGAAAAATTGAGGGTTGTCTTTTAATGGATATAGAGCTTCACTATTCCAAGATAAAAAAGTTCTGGACATCTCCTGCACATCAATGCAAATATACATAACACTACTTAAAGGTAAAAAATGGTTCAAATGCTAAATTTTTTGCTATGTGTATTTTTCTTAACTAAAACTAAAATTAAAATAAACTATTTTAAAAACTAATAGATGGAACAAACTAAAATATTTAAAAATATTTGATTGGGCCAGCCCGGTGGCGCACTGCTGCAGTGCGCCGCTTGGGAGTGCGGTGGCGCTCCCGCCAAGGGTTCAGATCCCACATACAGACCGGTTCCCGCTCACTGGCTGAGCGAGGTGTGGGAGCAACACCGAGGGTTGTGATCCCGTTGCCGGTCCCGGTCCGGTACGGGCGCGACACTGAGGGTTGCGATCCGTTGCTGGACACGAAAAAAGACAAAAAGGAAAAAATATATATATATTTGATTAACTGAAAAAAAATTTAGGAAAAGATGAGGAAAAGCAAAGGTTTAAAAGGCAGATGAGACAACAAATACAACAAAAAATAGCAAAATGACAGACCTGAATCTACCCCTTGTAATAATTAGATTAAATGGAATTTGTGTAAATATTCTACTTAAGGCAACAACTATCAGATTTGACAGGAAAGTAAGACCCAACAATATGCTATCCAGAGACATACACTTTAAATACAAAGACACAAAGATACAGACTGAAAGGCAAAAAATAAAATTAAATTAAAAACACTACACAAACACTAATTATGAAAAGCTTAAGTGGACATATTAATACTAGCCAAAAGAAGCTTCAGCACAAAATATATTACCAGAAATAAATGGAGCATTGAAGGATGTGGCCCACACTATTACCTCCATAATGTGGAAAATGGGAAGGATATGTCACCCTCCCAGGGGTCTGCCGAAGGAGACTTCTGTGAACAAAGGGAAAAGTGCTACCTGGTTTCCTCTATCACTGAGGAAATACAAGAAGAGAGATAAATCAAATAAGGCTGGCTGGCCAGATCACTAACATGGTTGGAGCACCGTTTTGATAACACCAAGGTTAAGGGTCTGGATCCCCACATAGGCCATCCATCAATAAATAAATAAGTAACAATAAAACAAAGATGTTCAATTTTCAAACAAAATTTAAAGGAAATGTAAAGGAGCCAGAATTTGCTGAGTTGGAAATAAAACTACTTTTCAGTCCAAGTTTTTTTCCAACAAAACATTTTCAAAGACACAAACTACTTTGTAGCAAGAATCATGGTGTTTTTTAAAAAAAATAAAAAATTACCAGTATTCTCAGGACCATAGAGTGTGATTTATAGAAAATGCCAGATAAGGGCTGGCCCGTGGCTCACTTGGAAGAGTGCGGTGCTGATAACACCAAGGCCCCAGGTTCGGATCCCATATAGGGATGGCCAGTTCGCTCACTGGCTGAGCATGGTGCTGACAACACCAGGTCAAGGGTTAAGATCCCCTTACCGGTCATCTTTTAGAAAAAAAAAAAAAAAGAAAATGCCAGATAAACAATAAAACTTCTTAAGAAATAACTGCCTCAAAGAGAAGGGGAGGCCAGAGAAAAAAGGGCCTAACACAGAGGTAGCATTGGTATAATGGATTATAGTACAACGGAAGCCCGTGCTTTTTAAAGATGTACCCAGGGTAATTTCCTGTATCAAAAGGGCAGAATTAGAAAAAAAAATTTTTAAAGTGTCATTGAATTTTCAAGTATTATAATCTAACAACAGGCAAAGAAATTGGTCAACTGTACACTCAGGCATTTAAAAAAATGTAGTGCAGAATGCAGGAGGCATCTTTTCCAGAGACCAACACAGGGCCCTAATCAAAGAACTAAACCAGGTGCCCAATGGGCATAACTAACTGCTCAGACCAGAGTCTGCAGGGTACCACCCCTTACCACCCACCCTGTCTAAAGAGAAGCGCCCACATGTTTATGCCATTCTTCTGTGAGCTAGCCACATGTTGAGGAGATGAAGACAACAGGCCAATGGACATGACTGAGTTGGGTTTTCAGCTAACTGTATAACATTAGAAGATTTCTAGGGCTCTTGACAGGGGCAAAGTATATTTTGCATGTGGTAGAAATGTATGGCCAGAGAGCAAACTGTGGTCTATTAAAGACTACTGCAAAGTCCTCCTATTCCTTTTATTGAGAGGCAGAATCTAATTGCCTTCCTCTTGAATCAGGAATGCTTTTAGTGACTTGACTAAGAGAATGTGGTGGGAGACATGCTTGGGATCTGAGTAGTGATAACCGGAAGCCTCAAAGCCTCTGCCTGGGCCTCTATGACAATTGCCCTGGGAGAAGCCAGACAGAACTGACTACTCTGAGACTGCCAGACTCTGAGGAAGCCCACTTCACCAGAAAGGGCTGTATGTCTGCCCAATGTCCCACAATTGTTCTTCCACATGAGACCAGACACATCATGCAGCAGCCAACCTACACTGCCCTTTTACAGTCTTACCCACAACATTCCAATATGAAGGAAGGAAGGAATTCTTATTCTAAGCAACTAAGTTTTGTGTCACAATTCTTATTCTAAGCAACTAACTTATTCTAAGCAACTAAGTTTTGTGTCACTTTGTTACACAGCTGATCATGGGAACACCAAACAAGTCATTAGAGACCACAGACAGTACTCTGATATGCAACAGGAAGAATGTAGGTTAAAATTGAACATTAGGTTCCAAATAAATAAAACCAGCATTTCACATCTTATATTACATCTCAAACTTTAATTGAGAATGTCAACTTTCAGTTAACTAGTTTGTCAATTTTCTTTCTTAACCAACTGTTAGCTATGGTTCTAGTTTATAAACATACCGATGACTTATGCACACAACCCTTTTTCTCATTCATTTCTAAGTGATTACCTGAAATAGGAAAAAAATAAAATACAATCTGTAAGAAAATTTAAAAACATGACAAGTCTTCCTGAATTAGAAACAGACAAGTATACAGTAAAAAAAAACTACACATAAAATCACTGACATAAATTTACAAATTATGAAAATCTGCAATTTCTGTTTTTGTTCTTTACATGTTCTATTGGCTCCTCATCAAACACATCCCACTTACTCCTGAAGGCTTTCTCACCTGAGAGTCTTAAGGATGTCACCACAGGTGCTGGTTAGAAGCCCAGGTCACCAGGGATTGAACCTCATCACCCAGGAAATATGCCCTTCAGGTTTTTACAAGCATATTTCCAATGGAACAAAGTTATTGTCTTTTTAAGTACCAACACCTCCTCCCCCTATACAGGCGGTGTATACAGAAATCAGAATAAAATGAAAAGGACAAGCAAACAAAAGTTGCAAGAATGAACACCACAAGGGATTAGATACAAGAAACAGGGAAGTGTCCAGGAAACACCCCATTTCACTGGCTTGGGTCACTGCCTGGATGGTAGTGATACCACATGTAAGAGAAAAAGAAGTAGACGTCACTTTCATTTTGGATTCATTGACCTTAAGGTAACTTTTGAATAGCTACAAAAAGCAGACAACAGTGAGTTCAACTTATGATCCAAGGAAAAGGGAAGAAGTAGAAAAGGGAAGAAGCTAAAGAGAACCAAGAGTGCAAACTACAGAGGACTGAATCAGTCAAGAAGAGCACAGTGAGAAGAACAGCACCAAGGACGAAGCCCTGTGATGAGCAATGTTTAGAAGAAGAAAGGAAGAGAATTCAGGGGAAGAGAGAGAAAACCATCAGTAATGGCGTGAGACAAACTAACTAACACAGGAGAAGATCATAAACAGCGGTTTCAACTGTGGCAAAAGTCAAATTAGAAAAAGACTACAGAATAGGCACTGGATTTCACTGAAATTTAAATGATAATTCCATGTTTTATCCACAAATCAAGTGCCGTCTTCCAAACCTGTACGCAAACCACAGGACATGTGAATGAAGCCATCTTGAACCAACAGCCTCAGTCACGGCACCAGATGACGAAAGCTGCATGTGCCATCCAGGTAACGCTAGTGTGAGAACTGCCCAGCTGAGTGCACCCATTATGTGGATCCACAGAACTTCAAGAAAATAAAAATGGCCTGACATTTTAAACCACTGCATTTTGATTTGTTCTTACACATCAAATTCTAAATGATACATGTAAGCACACAGAACTCAGTATATTTTAACAAAATTATGTGGGTGAGAAAGTCTTAAATTACACGAAACCTTACAGTCTGCTTATTCACTAACATGTACCTTAGCACTTGCTAAACATTTCTACTGTGGAAAGCTATATGTTTATTTCCAGGTTGCCAGTCAAAAACTTTCTAAGAGAGAAGGCACTTCAGAATTTGGTGCCAATAAATCCTCATATCCCATGAGAATTTGGCAGATTCTCTTCTCAGGTTCCATTCCAATCATGTTAAAAAAAGTGTCTGCCTTTTTGACATGACATCAGAAAGACCAGAGACAAACTTTTACTCAACTGAGATGACTCTGAAGTCTTATATCTTGCTAACTCTTTTTACATATGTACATTTCCTTCAAGCTGAGGTTTACTCATTTCTACTTTTCCATTTTAATTCATGTTCCCCATAATACCCAGGTAATACAGTGAAAAAAATAAGGAATAAAGAAAGAAACAACTCACCAGAGATTTATCCATCTTTTCTTGGTCTTGGAAATGCATAGCACACTATGGCAGCTTAGCTGGGAGAGGAGGGAATGGAGTGGATTAAGGAGAGAACTGTTGTGGATGGACCCTGGATTCTCCTGCCCAAAACTCTCTACACGTTAGCTGGAAAAGACAGACAAACAAAAAGCCTCCCTGTGAGACAACAATCCTTTATGGTCAATAAGACCCAACAAAGACCCATCAAACATGCATCTGCAAGTACATTAATGGTACACATTAGACACACAATTTATTTCTGGGTTAATGAAAATGTGCATTACCTACTGATTTAGCAAGAATCAACCTTACCTAAACATACAACTTAATCATTTAAACTAAAGAAAAACACATTGTATCATTACTAAAACTAATGTTATAGAAATATAGTTAGGCTATATTGACTATTTTTGTATTAATATAATGACTCCACACACGACTCCTGATAAGTGTTTCCACTACAACACATCTTATTTATATATACCTAAATATCTGTATAGTACACATCTGGCAACCCAACATCTTTTGTCTATGATTATATAGGTAAAAAATGTACATTATGTATATTTCTCAGCACCACATTCTCCTTTTTTTTTTAAAAGATGACTGGTAAGGTGATCTTAACCCTTGACTTGGTGTTGTCAGCAGCACACTCTCCCAAGTAAGCCATGGGCCGGCACTTGTACATTATGTATATTTATTTCGGTACACTATTCCAGTAATGTTACCCAGTGATGGATCACCCTACACCCAAACCCTCATGTAGTATGCTCTGTCAATGAACTGGGCTTTGCTATGACACTTGCTTGGGCCAATGGCACATTAGCAAATGTCATGCAAACATAAGTTTGACAAGTACTAGCCACTGGTGCTTGCCTTCTTAAACGCAACCACAGTGTGAAAAAGCCTGGGCCTACACTTTTGGAGACACAGGCCCCAGCCAAGAGTCAGCACAAACCACTGGATATGTGAGCAAAGCCATCCTGAACCAACCAGCCTCAGACAAGGCACCAGGTGACTAAAACTAAACACATCCAAAATGTGAATTCCTAGAACTTCAAGAAAATAAAACAGCTGGGTTTTTTAAGCCATTTGGGTTTTGATTTGTTCCTTACATGGCAAATGCTAAGTGATACACTTAAGCCCCCAGAACTCAATACGTTTTGGACAAAATTATATGGCAAAGAAAACTGTACATTACATGTCAAATACAATCAGTATACCTTCACAACCACAGGGAGAAGTTTTGAAAATTACAATGAATGTCAACTAAGAGGACTTCATTGAGGTTCCTGGCGCTAATGCAGGCCATGTAAATCATAAAAAGCAACTGTTTGCACCTCACTAATCTATGGTGTAAGATTTTTTTTGGTTTTTTATTAATATCATGTAAAAATTGTTTACCTTAAAAACATAAAAAGTGTTTTTCATACATTAGTAGTGAACTGTTCCAGTCTACTCCAAAAGTTCATGGAAAAATATAATTAAAAGAAAATAGGGATCTCTCCTTGAAGTTTCTGAAGCCCACTGGTATTCTAATTTTCCCATTTAAGTAATGTAAAATTGGTTCCTCTACATATATATATATATATGTCAGCAAAATTTGTGATTTTCAAGAACAGAATACTGACATTAAGAGAAGCACTTAAGTTATTTACTCTTTGTGGTGACATGATCCACCGACAGCACTAGAGATCAAAAAAGGATAAGGACGTTTAAGGCAAAGTGTGTTAAAGCATACATTGTTCTAATTTGACTTCAGCATTACAAAAGGAATCTCAACAGTAAACAAACAGTTCTTTTGAGTAAAGTGTGGCAAAATGGAGAATAGGCAAAAAGTCAGTATGTCTAACATCAACTAATCATGTGACCCTGCGCAACTCACATTTCCTCGTATCCAAATATTTTCACTTTTGTTCCAAGATGAAATAACCGGCAAAACATTCCTGAACTACCAGAAAGAAACTGAAGATATAACACCATCAGCATATCTCTAAATGCCAAAATTGGTAATAGGCTGCATTTAAGAGAGCTCAGACACTAGGAACAATGAGGGAAGATTGAAGGAATGGGAGTGTGTTCAGAGAGCACTGCAGACAGATCCCCTCAGCTGTGACAGGTTATTCCTGCACCCCGCACAACGCCTTCAAAGCCTCTTCAGTGACTAACATCTCCTAGGTCCTTGCCTATTCTTCTCAAACTCACTCTCCCTTTTGAAAGTTGGCCCAAACCTCCCAATATCACCCAGCCTCAGGTAGCTCCTGAATGAGGTATTCTCGTCCAACTCCTGTGCACTGTAAGCACTAGACTGAATAACTGCGTGGGCTGTGAAAGCTGCGCCTTTCTGGGACTCTTTTGCCTCTGTCTGACGCAGTCCTGAGAGGGTCCAGGCCACGGTGATGTTCTCCTAGGTGGGATTCTTATTCATATTCATAGAGCGCCCGCCTTCAAACTGTCACAGCTCCTGTACCCCAAGGAAAACCAGAATGTCATCCCATGCCCCAAAGTCCCTCCTAGAAGTCACTGTCCCTGAAAACTGGGTCTTATATCAACGTCCGCAAACTCAGGAGCGCTAGGAAGGCCGCACAGTGCAGGAGGGACCAGAAACTTAACCTCAAGGAGAGACACCGAGAAACCCCACGACACAACTGCCACAGGATAACGCTCCATCTGCACACACCTCACAGTTACTTCTCTGGGAATCTGGGGCATCACACTAATGTCCACACGCTCACGTTACAGATGGTGAAGTGAACGTCCCATAGGTCGGTACCAGGTTCCTGATGGCGGAGCTGGAACGTGACCTCCCCACACCTCCCAGGCTCGCTGTCTTCAGACACTCCCATCCACGTTCCCGTCGCCACCTTGGACCTGAGCCCCCGTCCTGGGACATCTGGAACCGGCTTCTGCACACCCGACAGCGCCGTCCTCTGACGGAACCGTCCGGAATGCGCAGCCCGGGCGCCCCTTCCCTGGCCTGGCCCAGCTCCACGCTCGCGCAGCACTTCAAGCCCCGCCAGCCCGAGGCCTGCGGCGCTTTCTGCCCGCCAAGTGCCGGGACACAGTCCCGCTCCCCAGAACCCCCGAGGCCCGCCGGGCTCCTGTTTCACTCTCACACCCACCTTCAGGGACGCACAATCCACGGGCAAGATCTGAGGAGCAACGTTCCGGCGACCGCAGCATCCGGGATTTCCAGACAAAAGATGGCGGAGTGGGAGGAGCCGCACATGCGCAGAAGAAAAGAGGAAAATCCTGTTCCAAAGTACTCCTGCGAGGGTGACGCCATTGCAAGGCAAAACTAGAGAGATAAGCGAGGATGCACATGCGCAGAAGAAACACAAAGACCTTTCTCTATAGTCCTGTGCCTGAGACGTTAATGGTCAGCGAGACTACATTTCCCAGAATACTCTAGGGTCCTACATTAGGCACCAAACAAGAAAATTTTTAAAGTTTTCTTCGCTGCACGGAGTACTGTTACCGGAAGGTCAGGTCTTGTTGGATCAAGACTGGTCTCTACCAACACAATAGACTAGTCTCTAGTCCACAAATGTGGAATTTTGATTTTTTTTTTTTTTAAAGATGAGGGGTAAGAGGATCTTAACCCTTGACTTGGTGTTGTCAGCACCACGCTCTCCAAAGTGAGCAAACCGGTCATCCCTATATGGGATCCGAACCCGTGGCCTTGGTGTTATCAGCACCGCACTCTCCGGAGTGAGCCACGGGCCGGTCCGAATTCTGATTTTTTAGTAGATGTTAGTTTGACAACCTCAGACATTGCGGCAGTAATGGGGAAATTCAAATGGGGTCCAGGTACAGCTGTTATAGACCCATGTCTATTTCAAACATGCATTTTAAAGTATGGAAAAATCATATCTCGATTTTATTTTAAATGTGTTAACAAAAAATTGACATGGTAATTTTCTTTCAAAACATTAAGAGATGTTTGTTCTCATCCAGTAAACTATGTGTAAGTCTCAAAGCATTGTATTACACAGTTAGAAAAACTGCTCTAGTGTGTATAGTGAAATAAAATAGCAGGGTCATAGGGTAGGTGCATTTCTTAATCCTTGTCCCAACTTACAGTTGCCATGTCTGCTAATTAATTGCCGAGAAATTCCCATGTTCCATTAACCCATCTGTCCATTTATTAAATCAAATTTTAGTAATTTGGTGTGTGTGTGTGTGTGTGTGTGTGTGCTGGACATGAACTTTGCCTTGTCTTCTCTGGTTTCTACAGCAAAACAGGCAAGGAGATCTTTACATGGATTTATCAAAGTTTCTACTACGTTGAAGTGCCTTTTAACAGAAAGTAAGACTGGCTGGTTGCTCACTTGGGAGAACGTGGTGCTGGTAACACAAACATCAACAGTTCAGGTCCCATTATTGGCCAGCCACCAAACAAACAAACACAAAATGCAAAAATGCCCAGCTTGAGTCATCAGAGTTGATATGGGCTTGAGTGTTAGAATGTGGGGCAGAGTAAAGAAACGGCCAACATTGTGGGTGTGTGGATGGGATGTGTGGGAGGCTGCGGTCATGCCTAAAACCTATCCCTGGTTTTCTCTTTTCCTAATGTATTTCCTGCCTTGTTCAAATTACTGTCTTTTAAAAAATTCTTCAACTTCCCCTCAGTGATTCTAATTGCACATCCAGAGAACTCAGCCTTGATCTTCCCACAGCCTTCTTGTCTCAGACATTAGAATCTATAGACTTCAATCCCATTGAACTCCTAAATCCCGTGCCTCTCTCTTAAACACTTATTGGTAGGGGATGTGGGAATCCTTTAAACACAGGATGATTGGCAGGGATTGGGTGGCGGGAGTCGCTGCCTGATCTTTCACACTCTGGATACACTTTGTCACTCCCTCTCTTTGTATGTCTGCCTCCTGTCCATAAAAATGGAGACAGTAATACGCATTTGGATGTGCAGCCCTCACCCTGAGCCCACCTCTATTAACATAAAGGCCAATAATGCAATCCCTTGACTTCCCCTATGAAGGTAAAGTTCTCTCCTCCAGGGAGAGGAGGCCCAGGGATGATACCTAAGTGTTTCCACACTAGCCATGTGTTGTAGCTTTACCCGTTCAAGTATACACTTCTATTGTTAAACTTATTTCTAAGGATTTTATTTTGATTCTATTGTAACTAGAATTGTTTCTTCAATTTTATATTTCTATTTATTTTTGTGTACATAAATAGTGATTTTTGTATATTGATATTGTCTTTTGTTACTTTTCAGAACTCACAGTTTTTCATTAATTCCTTATGGTTTTCTACATAAGAACATGTCAAGTGAAAATACAGAAAATCGTACTTTCTTTCCAATCTAGATGACTTTCATTTACTTGTTGCCAGTTTTTCTGTCTAGTACAATGATGAAAAGACGTGGTGAGAGTGGATTGCTTGTCATGCTCCTAATCTTAGAAAATAAGTATATGAGGGCGGCCGGTGGGTCACTCGGGAGAGTGCGGTGCTGATAACACCAAGGCCACGGGTTCGGATCCTGTATAGGCATGGCCGGTTGGCTCACTGGCTGAGCGTGGTGCTGACAACACCAAGTCAAGGGTTAAGATCCCCTTACCAGTCATCTTTAAAAAAAAAAAAAGAAAGAGAGAAAAAGAAAATAAGCATACGAACTTTCACCCTTAAAAATAGTATGAGCAGTGGGTTTTCCACGTGCTCTTCATCAGTTTGAAAATGTTCCCTTCTATTCCTACTTCATTGAATGTTTTCTTCATAGAAGGATGTTGGATTTTGTCCAATTTGTTTTGTCCATGTATTGAGATGTCGTGTTGTTTTGTTTATTATTTTATTGATATAATGTATCATAATGTGTAATTTTTTCTATTAACCAAACATGTAGTCCTGGGATATATGAAACATTGACGCAGGGTATGATTATTTTTATATGTTGCTTGATTCTGTTTACTTTTATATTTTTCCCCAATTTTCCAACTATAGTCGTAAGATACATTCTTCTGAATTTTTCTTTGCTTGTAATGTCTTTGTAGAATCTCAGTATCATAGTAATACTGATGCAGGGAATGAGTGGAAAAGCAGCTCTACAACATCTGTCTTGGGGAGAATTTGGGAACAGTTGATGGTAAATCTCCAAATATTTGATAGTATTTCTCATTAAAGTTTCTGGACATGATCTTTTCTTGGTATGTACTGGTTTTTCATTGTTAATACAATCACTTCACCTGTACTAGGTCTATTATGATTATTTATTTTTTTGACTCAGATTTTGCAGTTTGTTTCTAGGACTTTGTCCATTTCAGGTACATTATCTACTATATTAACATGCCATTCTGCATATTATTCTTCTGTAAGTAGTTTTATGTGTGAGGATGGTAGTAATGTCTCCTCTTTAGTTTCTATATTTAGTTATTTGTGCCTTCTGTCTCTCTATCTCTCTCTGGTCCAGCTAAGGATTTGTCCGTTTCTTTCATCTCTCATGATCCTAACTTTGGTGTTCTATTCTTTTTCTCTTTTCCCATTAGCTATTTCATTAATATCTCCTGCAACCATGATCCCTTTCTTCCTTCTGCTTACTTTAAATTTCACTTGCTCTTCCTCTTTCTGTGTCTTCACATGTAAGTTTAGATTACTGACTTGAGATCATTCTTTTTTAATATAAATATTTACATCTAAGACTTTCCTCTAATTTTCGCTTTAATTGTCTTCAAATTTTCAATCATATTAGTACATTTGCTGATGTCCCTTTTGATTTATTTGTCCCATTCATGATTGTGGAGCATGTTGTTTACTTCTGATAAATATATTTTTAATTGAAATGTAATGTAAAATAATATATCAGAGAGAATCGGACTCTGTAAATTTAAGATTTTCATGTATGATAATGTGCTTCAATTGTTCAAGGCTATACTGTTGTAATACAAAATGTATTTCTTACCATGGGCTGAATTTCAAAAATATTTGAAAACCACAAATTATTCTTAGTCAATGCTTTTGCCTTTGAAATGTGTTCACCAAGTTGCCACTTTCTTGTAATGTGGTCATCACACAAATCTGCCTGTAAGAAGAAAGGTCTTATTTCCTACTGTCCTTGCATGTATGCATGTGGGCATGCGTGAGTGTGTGTGTGTGTGTGTGTGTGTGTGTGTGTGTGTGTGTGTGAGAGAGAGAGAGACAGACAGACAGAGAGAGACAGAGAGAGACAGAGACAGAGATACTCTCTTGTATCCTGTGCTGCAGTTTCCTTCTGCTCCTTGGCCACAGGCCTAAAATTAAAATCTCAGCCCAAATACACCAGAAAGCATTATTGGAATAGAATTTGGGGAGTGGGGTCACCATGAGTAAATGTTGACAATAAGGTGAAAGCGAGAGGAGCCTCTGGTGCCAGAGAGTTCAAGGCACTCGGGTTATTCAGATGCATCACAGAAGTGCTGGGTTCACCCTTGTCAGGAGCTCTCTGTTCCCTCTTTCTCAGAACTCTTTCTTTCATCACCTTCACTGTAAATCTTCATGCCTCTCCTCTTAAGAACTAAACGCTTCCTCCCTCTCTACTCCCATGCAGTGTGAATGAGGCATTGGGGCTCCAGGACCTGCAGGCTGTGATCAGAACACACTGGAAGCCAATTGTTAACCCTTTACTGTCTCTTTCTTCTCGGTTTTGGTTTGTGGAGTCTCTCCCATCACTTCATTCCCATATTCAGTTCTTCCTCATACTCTTCCTCAATAAATGGCTCACAGGCTGGTGGAGGGAGGAAGTCTTGAAGATCACCTGACAACAGACAGAGTAAAGGGTTTACCAAAGAGATAAGAAAAAAAATGGTGATACAGCAGAGGTTAGAATTTCAGACGCCTTTTACATGAGCCAACCCCCTTCCTGCTTTTGCCCCAATGGGACTGGTCCCCTGGCTGCTCTCTCATTTCTCATACTCTCTTTAAAATATCCAGTCACTTTTGTACAAATTGAAGTTGGGTTTTCTTTACTATTTTTCCTACAATAGTTTATTACTGATGAAGAACTGTCCTTACCAATGTGACTAATGTCCAGCTTTATCTTTCTTAAAGAATTCCTTTTCCACCAACTTAGGAGCTGAGATATTTACTTCTGACTTGATTTGGGATAGCAGACATCTCCTGTTATGGGCTGAGGCCATGCTCAGTGTGTTGAAATCACCAAAATAAATGTTCCATCCCAACCCCATG